TGCGGTATATTTTAAATGAAAGCGTTCATACATTGTGAAATTATTAAGTATTAAATTTCACAATTTTGAAACCAATTTTTCTCTTCAAAAACAACGTTAATCTTCTTATTAAATCGACTTCCAATATGAAAAAAAATATGAAACTAAATTAATTGTAATTGTTTCTTTAAACAATTGTGTGTAGGTTCTGCTGTCTGTCGTTTATAGTGTGTTGAATGTTTTATGATTGTAACATAAAATTTTAATTCAATAATAAATAATGTTTGCGTGTAGATTTAATTGTTATAATAACAACATAAGCAAAATAAAGTCACATCATTAGCTGCTGCTCGCTGGCATCTAGTTCATTTTTTTGTTTTCTTTTCACTCTATCTCAGTATAGGTATATCTTTTATTTTATTTACTTCAATTTATCTTATTTTTTTTAAATATGTATCTTTTATTGTCTTTCTCTTTTTTTTTCAAATTTAAACAAAAAACAAATGATGAGATTAAAAAAATCTTTAAATCACTGTGAAAGTACATATTATAAATTTATTTAATTTAAACAGTTATATACAAAAATATTTTCACGAAAACATGATAAAAAAAGTTCTTTGGTTAAATATTAATTATAAATGTTTAGTTAGTAGGCCTGGCAACAAGTATTTTTGTTTTAGTTGATATATAATTATAGCATTTTGAAATTTTACGGCCCTTTTTTACTTTTCTAAAATGACTCATGTAAAGATCGCCTATAGTTAGCTATATACATTATTTATTTTTATATTCATTTGAAAGTCATCTGTGTAATATAAGCCGACTTTCAGTTGCTTAGAAATGACATAAATTTTATAGTTTTATAGCAATATTTATATTAAATCCCATATGCAGTTTTTGAATTATAGATGCATATCCGTTTGTTTGTTTCAATTACTTTCACAAAAGTCCAAGAGAGTTCCTTGTCTGGCTTTGTTATAGATTTTCAAATCAGTCGTTAAGTCAAAAATAAGTAGAATAGAAACAAAAATATTTATAATAATTTCATTTTTCTCCCCTAAAAATTTCCTTTTTATATATAAAATCATTCCATGTTAGAATCGCCATATACGGAGATAAAATTTATCAAAAGTTTACAAAACAAAAGCACAACTCGAACAACTCCAAAATTCTCCATAAAATCCACTTTTTATCAAATAATTAGTTATGATAACAAATTTATAAAAATTACTAGAACCATATTGAATTCTAATAAAAGAATTATACTTCATTTATTTATTTCAATATTTAAAACTTAATTTATATGATATTTCTTATTAATAATAAAATCATTAACTATTTTCCTTTCCATTGTATCTTTAAATGTTTTTGTTTTATTTTGTTCTTCTTGTAGGTGGTTTTGCAATGGTTTTTCTGGCAAAAGCCAATACAGGCAATGCCAAATACGCTCTCAAGCGTATGTATGTTAACAATGAACATGATCTGAATGTGGCTAAAAGAGAAATACAAATAGCGGTAAGTGCACACAAACCTATAACTTAAATTTTATGTCTGAATTTCAAATTTAAGTAAATTTATTCCATGCAATTAAACTTGCAACTAAGTCTGTTTGAAAGCAAGGCATTTATATAAAAAATTAAAAAAAAAAATCCGTTTTTCTTCTTAAACAGAGTAATTTAAGTGGTCATAAAAATATTATTGGTTATGTCGATTCGAGTATAACACCAACTGGTAATGGTGTTTGTGAGGTTTTACTACTAATGCCATACTGTAAACATCATATGCTGGCCATGATGAATGCACGGTAGGTGGTGCCTGTTATCCTTGCGTATAAATTCCTTTTTGTTTTTAATACACAAATTCTGTTTTAGTTTACAAGTTGGTTTTAATGAACAAGAAGTCATGACAATATTCTGTGATATTGCTGAAGCTGTTTCTCGGCTGCACTACTGTCAAACACCCATTATACATCGTGATTTGAAAGTGGAAAACATTTTGCAAAACGATGCAGGCAATTTTGTATTATGTGATTTTGGTTCGGCTACTGCTAAAATACTAAATCCTCAACAGCATGGTGTTACTGTGGTTGAAGAAGAAATTCAAAAATATACCACACTCTCCTATAGAGCACCAGAAATGGTAGATCTTTACGGGGGTAAAAGTATTACCACAAAGGCGGATATTTGGGCTTTAGGTTGTTTGCTTTACAAATTGTGTTTTTTCAATTTACCCTTCGGCGAAAGTACTCTGGCAATACAAAATGGTACCTTTTCCATACCTGACAATTCTAAATATTCCAAAGGAATGCATCAACTTATAAAATTTATGCTAGAACCCGATGCAGATAAGCGTCCAAATATATGGCAAGTGTGTGAAGTAGCATTTCGTTTAGCTGGCAAAGATAATCCTGTACAAAATTTGCATGTAAGTATTGACATTAAAGATTACTAACAGAAACGTGTAATTAATAAGTATGATTTGTTCCATAGAAATCGCCTCCAGTAAATTTTGATCAATTAGCTGTGCCTCCTTTTGAGTCAGAAGCCAAGCGTATATTATCGGCAGCAGCTGCTGCTGCCAAAGCCGCCAAACCTCAGACAGTAGGCATAGTTGAGTCTGGCACAAGTGTAGCCCCGCGTCAGAGGCCAAAGGGTTCGTCTGCCGCTATTCCTCAAAAATCCTTGGGCTTGGGTTTACCTCCTAGTCCTTTACCCCGTAACAATATTACATCGCCACAGCCACAACAACCCGTAGTCGAACAATTCCAAGCTATTTTTCCCGCTATAACGCCCACAATACCACCACCACCACCACCCGCTCAAGCCACAACAAATACAGTTCAGCCACAAACTCAAACCGAAGCAACCACAGATGTCCCTAGCACTACTACTGCTGCTGTTGCTGCATTAAAACAAACAAAGAATACTGCTGCTCCGGAGATCTTAAATAGTCTATTTGAGTCATCCGTTTATCCAGATCCTTTTAGTGAAGCTTCTCCCACACCCCAACTACAAACTGCCGAAACTGCTGGCACAACTGAGGAAGTGCTTAAAAGCACTGTAACTGACATTACATCTTTAGATTCTACGACCATAACAACAGCAACCGCTACTACAACTATTGCTGCGGTAGGCGTTGGTAGTAATGGTAGTGGTGGAGACAATACAATTGCTCAGTTGCTTTCGCCACCAAAATCCACACACATTAGCAATGCTTCCGGCCATCGTCGTAATGTTAGTGACACATCTGCTTTCAACAAGTGAGTATTTATTAATGACTAATGCGTCTGTGTTCTTGTTTTTTTCTTTTCTTTTCTTTAATAAATGTTATGTCATTTATTTCATATAAGCTGTGTAATAATACAATAACTAGGAAAAACTATAACTATACCACAATTATATAATCTTTAGCCATTAATAAGTTTAACAATTTAAAAATATGTAAAACTGTTTTACATTAATTTCTTTTTTAAGTAAATATTATATTACAAGAGTTTTTTTAATATTTGTGCATCATTTCGATAATAATACATATTTTCAAAGCATTTAGAAAATAATGTCAGTTTTTTTTACTATTTTTTTAATTTGTTTAATCTTTATTCTTTAGTTATTTTCTTAACAAATATATATTTATTTCTTTTGCATTTAGGCCCCGCAAAGAATATCGTATTATTGATATTATGGCAACTATATAAACAAAAAATAAATCTCGTTTTATTCAATATTTTTATTCTTATCATATTGTACTTTACTTTCATTTCATGGCACATTTAATGCACCACCACCAAAAACTATTTCTCTGGTCTAAACTACCCCTCAAATAAACTACCCAAACTGTTTCCAAAAAAAAAAAAAAAAATCCAACACACAGAACCTTTGCCAATGAGACCTCACAATTTCTAGCACCTTATGATCAATCTGTTAAAAGCCGAAGTGGTAATTCATCTACTGGCAGTGGGGGTGCTGGTGATACTGGCTTAACAAGCAATAATTATGGTGGCTCTAATCCCGGTTTATTTGCACCACCTGCCACGCAATCTTCGGTGTCAAATGCCGAACTGACAACAACACAAACATCACAAATGAGTCGTGCCTCTATGGGTATTGGTATGGGTGACACTATAGCAGCACGTGTTGATACTTGGAATCCATTTGAGGAGCAACCTTTTGGTCAAATGACTGAGGATCATATATTTGAGGCAGAGTTTGATAAAATACGTCAAAGAGGCAGTCAAGGAAGTAAGTTTGAAGTTATTACATAAAATCTAACAAAATATAATATTTCAAATTCTCTCTTTTGTAGGCATAACCGCAAAATCTGCATCGACTACTTCGACCCTAACGCCAACTGAAACAAATTATATGGCTGCTACACCTGGTTCTGTCAATTCCAATACTTCACAAACGGCTTCAACAACTCTACCGCCACCTAACACAGCAGCAGTTAATGCCGCCGCAATAGCTCCATCAATACCTGAGGATCCCTTCGGTTCCGCACCATTTAGTTTGCCCCCCGGCTTAAGGGAAAAAGCCGCATCTTTACGCAAAACTGGAGGTAAAGCATAAATTTTTATTATTGTTACTTTTTTCTTTTAATATTTTACTAAATATACTACAAAAATTTGCCTCTAAACCTCCTGATTTCCCCCCTTACAAAAACCAAAGCCTTTGTGCAAGCTTTAAGAAATACATAACACTTTAAAGAGCTGTACTTTAAGCTTTAGTGTTATGATTTTTTTAAGGTTTTGTATTATCCATTAGTGTAATGGCTAAATCTGCTTAATTTAATCCTTATTTTGGTTTTATACTCTTCTTTTACGTTTTCTACTTTATGTTCTCGTTACAAAATATTCTAACCGAAACCAGTTCCCAGTTAAATTTTTCTTGCTACTTTTTAATTTTGTTTTATATAACCAAAACCAAAAAAAAAAAAAATATTAAAGGAAAACGTTTTTATTCTTTTTTTCTTCTTAATCTTCTTCATGATTTTTTTCGTTCAAAAGATGAAAATCAATTAGATAATACATCTTAAACACACATTCTCTCTTTATACAAAAAAAAAATAGTATAAATAACCAAACTATTATTAAATACAAACCTTAACTTATTGTGGTTCTAACCAGAAAAAGAAAAAAAACAAAAAACAACCAAACAAAACTTAACTATAATATGAGATAATTTCAATTTCAAACTAACTTTAAAACTAAGAATCAAATAATAAATTATTACCACACTTGCGTCTCTTTCATCATCCCACACCTACCAACAAAAAAAAAACACAATCTAACACTTTCAAAATAGTGGTGGTTTTACATTGGTCTTTTTAATATGTATAATTATATAATTGTTAATATTTTATTTAAAAACTGTGCTGATAACATTGTAAATTATATATATATTTTTATTAAAACAAAATTTGGTTGTGGTTTTTAGCTAACAAATGAAAAGAAAATTATATATAAAACATTTGTGCGTATTTTTCTTAAATTTGTCTTTGTTAATAAAATCTTGTAAACTAAATTTATTATTATTATTATTTAAACAAGGATATTATTTGGCATATCACATTGTATAAAACGAAATCATTAAATAATTCTTTGTAATTAAAATTTAGCACAATTTATTTAAATACTTATAAAATTATTTTAAGTTCCTTTTTTATAATTAAAATAGCAAATTATTTAGTTTTTGTTCAACAGAAAAAACAACAAAAAATTGTAAGGCTTTTGTAAAAATTCACTTTAAAATTAAAATGGCAATATTAAGACAATTGTTATTAATAAGAAGAAAATTATTAAACATTGCTTTAAAGATTTTTAGGTTCTACCTTTATTTTAAATTATTGTTTAACAATTAAATGATACTCTAATGTCCCGCTAGTCCTAGCCAAAGGCTTAGTTAAGAGAGAAGAAATTTGAAATACTTTTCATAGGTTTTCACAGCACAGTTACATTTATGTTTTTCCACAAATTTCAGACATTATCAAAACAAGCACTTTCTGAAATCAACTGATCAGTTTTCCTGAATTCCTTTATAGAATTAATATCTAGTGCATTATGAAAAGAAAAGCAATCACCAAATCTAATTTCATTTTATAAATCTTCAGCAGAATTTCGAGAAATATTACTTAACCTAACCTTGTAAGACAAAGCTGAACATATGATAACCTACACCTATCTTCTATATACATTTATAAAAATTGTTATATAGATGGTAAAAACACTGGACTGATTTCCTTTTATGTTTGCTAGTATCTTCTTGTATGATTGGACTATTTTTTCGGTTTAAACTGTCTAATGGGCGTGGCAACTATAAGATATCTATAGCAGTTGAAATCCTTTAAATTTGCACAACAGTTGAGCCTAAAAAGGCGTAATAGCTGTTGTAGACATGGAACCATGTAAATAGAGCTTTGTACATGTATTTAAATTTATAATAAAAATGGGCGTAATAACTCCAATATTAAATAGATACTAATAGCCTTCCAAAAGAAACAATAGGCGTGGCAGATGCCAAAAAAAATAAAATCGTATGTAGGTTAAACTGAAATTGTTAGAACTGCATTTTAAATTTAATAACAGTTATGTACAGACAAAAAATGCAATTTAGCAAAAGTGGGCGTGGCCCCTCTCATGCAAAATACAAACAAAAATTATAATAGGAAAAGTTTTGAAACTTTGTACGTATAACAGAACTTAAATATTTTATAAAAAAGCAAACTGACAATGTAAATAATAAAAATCTTATGCATGATGGAAAAATCCACAAAACTTCTAATGAAATCTGTATGTTTGGGACAAAAATTGGTGAATTAGCACCTCAAATAAAAAGTAAATTTGTACAGCTGGGTAACTAAATAGTTAAAGATCACAAATTTTGTTCTACTAATTTCAATATTCGTAAATATTCAGTTCACATAAAGCGGTCTAGAAATAGTGGGCGTGGCACTTCTCTAAACAGTATAAACTTTAACTCGTATATCTGGAAATCTAAAATAGCTACAGTCCTCAAATTTTGTATAATTAATTTTGCACATTTTCCGCATACAAATGGGCTCGACTCCTGCCACAAATAGTATTGATATTTATATCAGCTACAGTCATTTGAGAGTCTTTATGGAGAGATTTAATATGAAACGAAATTTTCAGAATTCCAGAGAATGACTAATTTCTAATAACAAATAATTTGAATTTTTCCTAATATGTTGACTTATTGCCCATAAAAATGAGAAGGGTTATATAGGGGTAGATATAATTATATACCAATTCTTATAAAGAGAAAATTTGGTTCATACAAAAACTTGTTTAAGTTAAAATAAATCTATCTACTGGTATTTTAAGCCTGAACATTAAAGTCATATTATGAAGGGAAACTTAATGTGGACCGATTAAAATACCAAACTGTATTTTTGTGGTAAATCCTAGCGTTTAGGGCCTATTGGACAGAAAAAACTCAATAAACCGGTGTAGGGTACAAATATAAGTGCACTGTGTAAGTTTATTTTTCAATTGTCAAAATATTAAATCAAAATTTATAAAAAATTGCACTTTCTTTGCAATAATAACTCTTAAACAGAGTATTTTTTTATTTATACCTTTCCTTTAAAATATATTTACCCTAAAAATATTTCGAAAAAACCAAAAAAACAAAATTGCTCAGAATATATTTTTATTTTTAACAGCAGTTTAATAATAAAATGTTATTACAAAATTTAAAAAACGAGTTCCTTTACATTTAAATAAAATTGCTTTCATGTGAATTTATTTAAACATTAATTATAAAAATCTACAATTAAAAAAAATATTAAACAATAAAGAAAAACAAAACTCTACTAAAAAAATAATAAATAAAGCAATCAAACACACTTTAGTAAGGATTGAAGAATTAAAGGGAATTAACGAATTGAAATTAGTTATTCAAAAGATTAAATATTTTTGCTATAATAACTATATTCTTATTAAAAAAACAACAAATTAATAAATATATATTTTCAATTAAATATTAAAATCTACATTGTGTATATTTATATTATTATTAATATATTATAAACTATAACCAAATTATTACTATATATAAATACAAAATATCAATTATAAATAAACTAAATGGCCACAATAAGTTTGATTTAAGCAAAACAAAAAGAAAAACAAAAAAACATGGATGAAACAAAATATAAATAATAAATTATATAGTTTTTGATTATTTGTTGAATATACATACATATTCTCTCAATTAATTAGTTTACTACAAAAGAATGAGTAAATATATATAAATAAATAAATGAATAAATAAACAAATAATTAGCTTAAGTTATAATGAAATGTATGCATTATTATGAAAATATTATATTTCACTAAATAAATTAAAATTATATTTATGAAAAACTTAAAAAAAACGAAAATAATCAAATTAATTTTACTTTTTCAAAGAAAGCCTCTTTACAAACCAAAAACATTAGTTATTTAATTTATCCTTATTATATTCTTTTTTTCCTTTGTTATACAAATATTGTACTTAATCAAAATTATTTATATTAAATTTACATTGTTGTTGTTCTTTTTTGTTATATAATTTATTTTAAAATTCATTTTATTTTTAATAACTTCATTGGCCTTAAATGTTGTACAATATTATTTATTTGTTAATTATTTATAATTTTAAGTTTTATTGTTGTTTGTCATTTAACATTCAACTTCATTTTCAAAAAAAAAAACCTTTATTCTTTATCCTTTAAACCTATGTGTCTCAGTGCTTTTTTACAAGTCCATGATACATTTCTTTTTACTTTCCATAATACCCAAGTTTTTATATACATTTTTTTTATAATTTATTTATTTATATTTTATGTTTATTATAATTTTTAGCACTCAAATTTAATGCCTGGTAGTCTATTTCATTCTATGAAAAGAAACAATGCACAATTCATTATAAATTCAGAAATTCATTAACAGTTTGTTAAATAACAAAGTTTTGTAACAAATGTCTATTGCCCATTTTCATTTATACATATATACCTACTACCACACCCATCCATTGACTTTGTTGTACATTTTTAACACAAAAATATAGCTTTTATTTAATTTAAAAAAGGTAATATTTTAAAAATTCTCCAATGAGTTACAAGGGGTGTAGAAAATAACATAAAATGTATTTTTTCAGGTTTAAAGAAGTTTAGTATTGTTGAGTAAAGTATGGACATCTAATTAGTCTACTTCATACACTACAGTGTTTCTACAGTAATCTTAAATAAAAACAATCATAACCGAGTAATGACTTTCGGTATAAATCGGCACAGTATATAGCTTCCATACAATTGAAAAATTTAAATTGGGCAACCTACTTAAGCAACCAAAAGTAAAATATTTTCCGCGGGTAGATAGATAGATAGATAGATAGATAGATAGATAGATAGATAGATAGATAGATAGATAGATAGATAGATAGATAGATAGATAGATAGATAGATAGATAGATAGATAGATATATAGATAGATAGGTAGATAGATAGATAGATAGATAGATAGATAGATAGATAGATAGATAGATAGATAGATAGATAGATAGATAGATAGATAGATAGATAGATAGATAGATAGATAGATAGATAGATAGATAGATAGATAGATAGATAGATAGATAGATAGATAGATAGATAGATAGATAGATAGATAGATAGATAGATAGATAGATAGATAGATAGATAGATAGTTAAATAGATAGGTCGATAGATAGATAGATAGATAGATAGATAGATAGATAGATAGATAGATAGATAGATAGATAGATAGATAGACAGATAGATAGATAGATAGATAGATAGATAGATAGATAGATAGATAGATAGATAGATAGATAGATAGATAGATAAATAGATAGATAGATAGATAGATAGATAGATAGATAGATAGATAGATAGATAGATAGATAGATAGATAGATAGATAGATAGATAGATAGATAGATAGATAGATAGATAGATAGATAGATAGATAGATATAGATAGATAGATAGATAGATAGATAGATAGATAGATAGATAGATAGATAGATAGATAGATAGATAGATAGATAGATAGATAGATAGATAGTTAAATAGATAGGTAGATAGATATAAAACATAAATAACATTCACATAGCCAGGAAATATTTTCGGAATTTTGTGATAATCAGCACATAGTAGGACAAATTGGAAAAAGCGTCTTCAAGAAGTTGTTAGGACAAATTGAAAAAAACGTCTTCAAAAAGTTGTTATGAACATGTAATTGAACAAAACAAAACAAATTTTTTGTTGTTACAACTAAGCCTAAGTTGACAATATTTGGCAGAGTATTAAAAATGCAATTGTCGTGAGAACGATGTTTATTAAGTAAACTAATAGCTGAACGCCATTATTGTGAGAAAATATAGCATTACAAGACTTCCTAAAGTAAATAAATCTTATTAAAAAGTGATGATTGTATAAAATGAAATGACAGACTTAAAAATAGAATATTCTACAACTTAACCGAATTATCTTATCTATTTAACCACCTCTTAACCAATAACACTAAATCACTCATCCACCCACCCACCGACCTATTCACACACAGACACTTACCGTTTCTCTCAAATCCTCCCGCCTCCTTCTCGCCGTACATACATACTTACACAATTTTCAGTTCATTTCTTTTTTATCACATAAAAGAACTTAATTTTCTTTAACAGCTAAATACTTTATGGGTAACAACAACAACAGCAGCAGCATTACAACAAATACAACAGCTACAATAAATCCCAACAGTTTGGTGGGTGCTGCCTATTGTGGTGGTGGTACTACCTCATCAACTTCCTCCAAATGGCTTTTGTCACCCACACTAGAGGTATCAAGCGAAGAAAAGACTTCGCTTATAAATAATCTTAAAACCGATTCCGAAGGCGGTTGTGTTGGCGATGGTGGCAGTGGTTTACTACAAGATCAAGATGATGCTTTAGTTAGTTTGAGTGGAGCCTCGGTGGCATTAGCTTCGGGAGGTTTTGTTAAACTTCCACTGGAAGATCGTAATAAATATGAAAAATTGCGCAGTAATGATCAGCCCACATCAGACGATTCGGATTCGGAATTTTTTCAGGAGGATTACAGTGCCGGTATAACCACCTCCAAAAAGGCCATCTTTAAACAAATTGTAACCAATAATATACCAGATACTATACACAAAATACAACAGGCAGCCTATCACAAAGTGGACAAGACACAAATTAAAGTACCGATTGTTAAGAAACTAAGAGAAAAAACCACTACCAAAAGACCCTCTTCGGCGGCTCAGCAAGTGGCGCAGCAAGTAAATGCTGCTTTAGAGAAACACGAGAAGCAACAACAACAGGCAGCAGAAATAGCAGCGGCTGTTGCAGCCGCCGATGAGGCTAACAAAGACAATGAAGATGCTGATTCCATAGGCTCAGCATCTGATCTACGAGCTGAAGATGACGATTACTTTGATGAGAATCAAATGAACAGTGTATTAAGAAGCAATGCAAAATTAAAACGTCCCGATATGGATGGCATAAGTGAGAGTGTAAAAACTTGTAACTCTTCGGCTTATCATGCAGAGTGTGAATCAGTGACTACACATGAAGATGACATTAGTCGTGTAGTCGTTAAAGTGCGTATGCGTAAAAAAGATCGCATTGCTGCTTTACAAGCGGCCTATAATGAGGGAAATGCAGTTACAGCTGCTAACGTTGCTGGTAAACTGGCATGTGAAGAAAATGAGCTAAGTCCCACTTCTAGTGAATTCATTAATAAATTGGGTGATAAACCTTTATTACTTGATGATGAATTGGCTTACAATTCGGGTGATTCCACAGATTCTAATAATAAAACCTCTAGTTCTGATGAGCCCATACCACATAATCCTCTAGATGCAGTCGATAATGCTAATAAAATCGTTAAAACTGATCCCGAGGAAGAATTGGATGTTTTTGCTATGGCTCCTTTTAAAATGCCTGAGGGACTGCCACTTAAAACTACTTCTCGTAAGAAATCTTTGGAGGCAGATAAAGTTAAACCTGCTTTAAATCCAACTGCAGAAATATGGACATCTACACCAGTTAAAAATATGAAGACAACATTCTCAGATTTTCATATGAACACACCCACAGCCCCAGCAGCCGGAGCAGCTACACTAACGTCTTCACAAACTATAGAACATTTAACGCCACTTCATACAGTATTGGATGAGTTCAATGAACCCGTATTTAATCCATTTGTTAATCCTATAAAACCTAAGCCGCAACAGCAACAACAACAGCTACACCACCAGCAACAATTACAAACTAATGATAAAGTAACAAACAGCCAACACATACAAAGTTCGTCTCATTATGGCATGGTAACAGTTATCTCCTCAAATGCATCAGAGACCTCTGCTCCCAAAGCTGCAACGGCAGTGTCCGCAACTACAGCAGCAACAGAACAGCGCGATTTATTTGATTCTGAGCCGTTTCCTCAGGTAATTAGTAAATGTATTAATAATATTAAACCAGACATTGTCAGTTGTCAGAAAGGCTATAAAAACCATAATATTGTACAAGTTAAAACTACCGCTTCCACTTCTACGACCTATACAACACCAACAATACAACATGAATCTAGGCCCCAACTTGTAACTGTTAATCACTCTATTATAATTAATAAAACACCCGAACCGACATTTTCCACACCACAACAACAACAACACCAGATTCCTATAAATAAGTTTGCTTCACACCAAAAAACGAATGTGAATGTTAATGTTACTCCCTTGGCTACTTATGTTAATGTGCCGCCTTTAGCATCATCCTGTGTCTTGAGTGGTTCAGCTACTAAAATACCTAAAACACAAAATGTAAATGTGATTATTCCTCCTCCCAATGCTTCTGCAAGGTCTAAACAAATTGTTGACTTAAATACTCCGAGCAATTCCCAGGTTATGCAAATTTCTTTAAATGCCTCCGGGAAGACAACTACCAACTTGCCCGCAGCTAATGTTACTTGTCAGGCACTACCTCCCCATTTGTGTGCTTCCCCTGGTAGTGAACAGTCAATGTTTCCCATAGCTGATAATGCTTTTGTTCAAATCTCTCAAGAACGTTGCTCGGACTTTACGCCAGACGATGAAGAGGAGCCAGTTGTTTTGCATGCTAAACATAATGCCGACATGGATTCAGCAAAGACATCAGTCTCCTCCACCAGTCTATCAATAGCAAACACACCGGCAGCAGTAGCAGCCCCAGCCACAAAACACAAAGAAAAAAAGAGCCATCTGGGCGTAAGGACTCTGCCAGCAAAGTTGTCACAAAAAGTTAAAGGAAATTCCTACAAGAAAGTTTCCGGTGATAATCATCACCAGCAATTGTCTTCTACCAATACCGGCCTTACAACATCTGCTTTAGGTTCATCATCGTCTTCGCTAAGTATGTGCCCCCCCAAACAGAAACACCAACGTTCCAAATACAAATCTCACACTGATGAATTTGATGACGAAGAAGATTACGAAAACATGTTATCGTCATCGAACACTGCAACTAACAACTCTACTACTACACAAACACAAAAACATTCGAAATCCTTTTCGGGTAAATCCTTTGGTAATTCTTCCTTCCAATCGAATTCTATAAAAAATTCCGTTAAAACAGGCTTTAGTAATATGTCCTTCGAAGACTTTCCTTCGGATCAAGAAATGGACGGAGGTGGTCGTATGTCTCAGGCTCCTCAGGCCTTACCCTTTGAAGTTGTACGCAATGAGAAGGCTCTTTTAGAAGCCGAAAAGAAATTTGGCTCTTTGAAGAGACGCAATAATCTATTCTCCTAGAAAAGAATTAAACCAGTGACAAAACAGTCATTGAAACAGGAATTCAAACAAATCCTTCAGAAAGTATTAAAATCATCATCATCGTCTTCGACGACGACGTCACATAATAAAAAGAAATAATGTCTTTCTAAAATCAGTCAATTATTATATACAGAAAGGTGCTAAAGATAAAAGCATTATTAGTTGAAACTAATTCTTTAAACTCTGATTTGAACTCACTTCTTGATAATGTAAAGTAAAGGCTAATATTTTTTTAATATTTAGTCGGATGAAATTTTTAACGTAATCCACATATTTGCAAATTCGATATTATGCTATATAAATTTAATTTAATTCAATTAATTTTTTGTGTGAAAAGAATTAATTTAAAATTTTCTAATTCAATGCATGAAAAACAGCTGTGATTTGCAACTGAAAGTCAATTTGTAACCACAAAATTTACCAAATCTAATTAATTATAATTAGTAACTTTTCCCGATTTGCTTAAATAACAGATATCGAATGTGCATAATTTATGTCAATAACGATTAAACTATACATTCCAAAATGATAACTATTAAAACAATTTAAAAATACTTATTGTATAAAAACTACTTTTGAAAATCTCAAAAAAACAAGCGAATTGCTACAAAGAAATTTTAAAACTGTTTCTTTTTTTTAAATCGAACAAAAAGTTTAAAAATCTCTTTTGCAAGACTGATGATGATCATAAACACTATTAATCCTCCCAAAAAATGTGTTGTTGTGGCAGCGGAGGCTTTCTTTAATATAAAACTAAAAAGAAATACGAGTAAAAAAATGCCTTTAGAATAATAAAAACTGCAGAAACTTGAAAAAAAAGAAAACAAAAATCACAAATCCTAACCTTAAATAATATACTCAAAAAGCTTTTAGAAGACAAATAAGAAAAAACCAAAAAAAATAAGAAATTTAAAATAATTACCACAAATAATATTAAAATATATATTTATACAAAATTATATTAAAGCAAAAAAAGAAAAAAAATAATTAAAATGTATACAACACGAACATTTAATTTAAAATTAATACAATTAATTTTATAAGGTAAAATTATGTTTTGTTTTTTATATAATTTTCTTTTTTTTTTTATTTTAATTATTTCCAAATATCATTACAGTATGGATAAAAAGAAAGAAAGAAGCCTTAAAAACACTAAAAGTACTATGCTTAATAACAAACACAGAACAAACAAAAAAAAACATAACAAACAGACACACAGTTTTATACAGTCTTTTATAGCAGAACTATTAAAAAAAATAAAAACTTTTTAAGAAAATGTTATCGAAAAAAAAAAAACAAGTTTTTATGGTTTAATTGTATTAAGTGATGATATGATATTTATATTTCTATATAAAATTAACAAAAAACTAGAAACTAAAAGTTTGATAAATGTTTTCAAAACAAACTAAAATATATAATTTAATAAATTGTCAAATCTAATCGTTAAAATATAAATTTAAATTAAATACTTGCGTTCTTATAACTATATTTAGCATATACAATTATCTTAAATCCACTTCACACACTTTATACCTTTTATTGTTGAATTTATAATTATCATTATTATTATTATTATCTTTAAAACATACATACATATAATTAAAACATAAACATTTATTTAAATACATATAACTACATATATTTAATTTAATATTTTATTATGAATTATACTCTCGTTATGCGTTTGTATATCAATCAGAATTTATTATAAATATTAATATTATTATTATTATTATTGCTTTTAAAGTGCTGCTTTTATTTTACATTTTAAACACAAAAAATATATATTCCATTTATAATTATTTCTTAACGTTTTAACACTACGGATACATAATTGTATTATTAAATTTATTACATATTTAATTCAGTTTTTTTTTTTAATTTAAAAAATATATATATTTTAAAAACACTTTTAAACACTAAAATTAATTGTTAATATTAGAGTCCCTATTTAAAAAAACCTTATCTAACCAAAGTTTATTTTTTTAATTTATTATTGTTTTCATTTGTATTCTCCATTTAACAATTGGTTTTTAATTTTGTTATTTTTTATATTTATATATTTTTTTAATTGCATAACAATTTATTAATAAATAATTTTATCAACATACAATATATATAATATATACATACATACAATATTTAAAAATTAATAAAAAAAATAAAGTAAAATTGTTTAACAATGTTACACACAAGAAATAAAAACAAAATATTAAAGTTGTTTTATTTGTGTCGCAGTTTTAATCAAAAAAAAAAAATATTGAAACATTCTGTAAGTATAAAAATTAAAATTTTGTTTTTTTATACTTAGTTGGAAATACTGATAACATGACATTTGTTTAAATAATATATTTAATAAAAATTTTATTATTTGGGCCTTATTCATAATAATATATAAAAGGTTATAAAACAAAATTTTCACACAAAACTAGTTTTATAAACCTTTGATAAATGGTTATGAATATGACACAAAGGGTCTTTGCAACACTGTTTATATTAGGGTTCTATAAATCGACTTTAAAATAATCGAAGAATATACTTTTTGTCGGAAAAAGTCGACGAATCTTTTTTCCAATCGAAAATTTGAAGTTTTTTTCCAACAATTTAAATTAAATTTAATAATTTTTATTTAATTATGTTCATTCAAATTGAAATTTTCTACTTAAACAATTTTTATTTTTCGTTTTATGAATTTCTTTGTTACGTAACGTATGTATATCCCTTATGTGAAATTACATTAAAAAATTTATTTCATTTCGGAAAAAGTCGAAAAAATGTCGAAAGTCGAAATCAGTCGGAAAAAGTCGACTTTTCATAAATCGCAAAAGATCAGGGATGGATGTATTTTTATGTAAACTCATACAAAAAAAAACGATGTTTCCATTCTACTTTTTTATTGTGTTATACCACCCTATAAGAAATGAATGACCGAAACTAACACATACAAAATGATTTTACTAACACACATGCAACATTTTTTTTATAGAATTGTCGAAAAAAAAATTAATGGATGATTCCATCAACAATGACAGTCAAATGACCGGTAAAATGACCGTTACTGAACCCAATGTGTGGTATAGGGTTGAATTTACATATGAAAGAATGAAACAACTACATTTTGATTAAAATGTATTAAAATTTATATTTTGATCAACAATGACAGCCAAATGACCGATCAAATGACTGTCACTGTGTTACAGAGTTGTATTTTTCGTCGTTACAAATTAATTGTTTCTGCGAAAGCCAAAGATCAAGAAGCGAAAAAATAATAAAATTACAAAGTCTTTAAATTATTAAAAATAAAGAGAATTATTATAAACTAAATTTTAAAAAAGTTCAGGAAGTGGATCAGAAGATAAACAATTCGGAGTTTAATCAATCAATGGTAACATAAATATGTACTTATGATTTTTATATTTCGATATTTATGAATACTTATGTATTTCTTTACAGACAACTTATTTCCACAAATTAATAGGAGCATCAGAGGACTTAAGATTCTGCGTGGTATGTAAAATGGTGAAAAGACTGGTAATTTATGTATATGATTACTATATTAATAAAATTAACAATATATATATATTAAAATATCAATAAATTGTGTTTTATTATAAATTGGTATAGCCGTCAGATTTGACGGATATTTTCATCAAGTGTGATTAGTCAACAATGACCGATTAATGCATCATTTTTTTATTTGTTAACTGTGATGGATATATCCATCAAGCATGATTAGTCAATCATGACTAATATTTATATCATTCATGATTAGTAAACAACAAAAGAGTGAGCAGCTCAAATATATGTTTTAAAGTCGATAGAATTCATAAGTGCGAGGGTGATGCAACATCACATGAACACAAATGTTTCCATCACTTTTTACATATTGCCCTTAAGAAAGTGATGGGAGCTTTGTTCTACGCAATGATGGGTATATTCTCAGTAGTGCCAGTCAATTGACCGGTCAAATGACTGTCACTGTTCTTATAGGGCCAATCAGGATGTACTGAATACAAGGTGACATCATTATACCAGCTGATCATTGTTTATAATTTTTTATACATACAGGCTTAAACCGCACGTTTGTCAAACTCCATATAAAAAAATTTTGATAATCGTGCGTTTGCTCTCAAGTGCTGATACCTTGTTAAGTATACCATAATATAAATTGTGTAAACTCAAAATATAAATCACTACTTATATTTTCTTTCGCTCATAAGTCTAAATCTCATACAAACTCATACAAAAAAAAAAACTGTTTCCATTCTACTTTGTTATTGGTATAAAACAATCAGGGTGTACTGAATACAAGGTGACATCATCCCAGCTGATCATTGTTTACAATTTTTTATATATACATATATGTTTGTCAAACTCCATATACAAAAAATGATTAAGTATACCATGATACCAATAGTGTAAACGCATAAAATATAATTCATACGAATTTTATTTTCTTTACGGATGGAATTTCTCTATAAGTCTAAAGCCACTTTTAGAATTATTATAACTTAAAATTTGAGACCACTTTTAATCCTATCGAAAGTTATGATCATGATTTACATATTATTCAAGTTTTTTTTTACATAAAACAGAGTTAAAGCGCCTTTTCGCCCAAAAAACAGCAAAAAGGTACGTTAACACCTATTAAATATTTGACCAAAAAAAAACGTAACCACTATTTTTTGTTACAAATGCATGATTTTTGTAACTGCAAAAAATTCGAAATAAATAAACACGACGCTGTAAAGTGATAATTTCAAATATGCATACATATGAATATTAACTATGTACATATAAATGAATAAATGTTTAAAGAATATAAAAACGTGGAATTTTTAGGGGTTACGTTATTTTGTTAAATATTTGATAGATGTGAACATATATTTAAAGTGTTATCATAACTTTCAAAAAAATGGTAGGTTCCAGATGATTTTGGTAGTTTTCCGATAAAAATTTTGTAGGATTAAAATTTAGTCTGTGGCAACGCTGCATTGCATATACCGCAGCTATAATAACAACAACTAAAATAATAAAGTGTTTATGCATTATTCATTTGCAAAACAAAAATAAATTGTCAATAAGTAAAATAAATTTATTATTTTATTAATACCTATAATATTTATGCCTGCATTATTACAGTTGTTTGATCTCATTTGAATGTAATACTACCAGGATATATAAAAGACTCCTTTTAAAATAAGGTAAGAATGGCTTCAACGCATGAGGAGCAACAACAACGTGTTTTAGTTAAATGTGGCGGCTTTTCTACACAATTGGCCAATCATGTTGGTGAACGTATCGATGGTGACCCATTATGGGGTTCACGTTTCGATTTGGTTAATCCTACTGCCGTAGTGCAAACACATTTAGATTTCTTGGAAAGTAAGTACAATATTTTTACTAGAAAATTGCCTATGTGTCATCATTACCATTCGGTAAAATACAACTGATTAGAGAAAATACTGTTTTGCATTAGGATTGTAGTTTTCTATAAAATACCCAAAACTTTTTCAGGATTTACTGTGCATAAATATACCAATTTTTTGTTGATTTTTTGCCCATTGTAAAGGTTTTTCTTAGAAATGTGTCTGGGTTTAAAACAGGTTTGTAACAACTTTAATGGAATAATGGTCGAACAACCAAATCAGAGGAGAAATTTATAAATCGATTAATGCATGTCCTTATGTACATACATTTTATATCTATGTATGTAAACATTTCATTGTACGAAACTGTAGGTTTGATAAACAGCACTTTTTTATCCTAAGGACAAACATTATTAATTAATTTTAGTAAAATTTGTTTATGATTTCACATAGCCCCAATAAAAATTATTATTTATACTAGCAAATGTCACGCTATATAGGGACTTCTTAAAAATATTTTTGTAACGCTTGTAAAAAAACCTTCCGTTCTTACTTACATACTTATTTTATTATTAAAATCAAGTAATATTCATAATCAAACTTCTAACTAATCACAATTATTACAGATGGAGCACAAATTATTTTGTCCAACACTTATCAGTCCAGCGTTGAAGGCTTTATGAAACATTTAAAACTTTCCAAAGAAGATTCCATACAATTAATGCGCAAAAGTGTACAACTTGCCAAAGAAGCTCGAGATAAATATGTTGAGAAAATCGAAAAAGCAAATGGCTCACTGGAAGCTGGTCTACCATTAATATTAGGTTCCGTGGGACCCTATGGAGCTATGCTGCACGATGGTTCAGAATACAATGGTTCGTACACTGATAAAGTTTCCAAAGAGGAGATACAGAACTGGCATCGTATACGCATCAATGCTTTATTGGCCGAAAATGTAAATGGTTTAGCTGTAGAAACTATACCGTGCCCCAAGGAAGCTGAGGCTGTAACACAAATGATTTTAAATGATTATCCAAATGTGAAGTTTTGGGTATCATTTCAATGTAAAGATGAATTGCATTTAGCTCATGGTGAAAATTTCGCCAATGCTGCCAAATCTATATGGGATATGGTCAAACAGGCAAATGCCAGAGAGAGAATCTTTGGTATAGGGGTTAATTGTGTTAACCCAAAGGTAATTTTGAAATTTACTTGAAAGAAATTTAAGGATGTATTGGGAAATTAAAATATTTTTCATTTTGTTAAGTTTGTGGCTCCTTTATTCAAATCATTGCACGTATTATTAGATGATAAGGATTTACCGCCCTTGGTGGTGTATAGTAATCGTGGCGAAACTTATGACTTGGAAAAGGATGAATGGGTTGACCAGGACAAATGTGTGCCACTGGAGACATATGTACCCGAATGGATACGTTTAGGTGCCACTGTTATTGGTGGCTGTTGTCGTGTCTATCCAGCCGATATACTTAATATACGCAAGTGCATTGATAGCTTGGGTAATAATAATATTTAAATGTTACTGCTTATTGATTTGAAATTAAATAAAAGATATAATAATAATACTTTCAAAAATCCAAATACAAATTTCATATTCAATAAGGTAATTGAACTGACCTACTTCTTAATGCAGTTTGTGCAATACAATTGCATCAGCTGCTAAGTTATGTGGAGATTATATGTACTTAATACTTAATAAATTTTAAATGTCGATTAGCTACTAAGCAATGTCAACAAACCTTTATTATTAATTATAATACTTTATTTTTATATTTTGCTACAGTATATTGGAAAACAAAATCTGTCTGATATTGTCTAGGGTTATCAATAATTATTATGAACCAATTCCATGCTTTTGCCATTATATTGCTATTTTATTTTGGAATATTTCAATGTCGAAAAGTTATGTTTTATTTTTTGTTTATTAGGCATAACATATGTATGTCCATGTATGATGGCGTAAAGTACATTTTTTTGTGTACATTTCTGAAAGAATTTAGAACCCAGCAACAAATTTTCATTATCTTAAAATACGGCAAATAATACCACTATGTCTAAAAAAAAAAAGGAATCAAACATCAAGTCTATATAAACAAGATTTATGATTATATTTAATAACATATGTAGGCATGTATGATTATGATTATAATAATTAATAAGTAAACAAAAAACTAAAGCTTAAAAACAATATAAAAGTGTAATCAGTTTTGTTTTAGTAGTCTACGTATGCAAATCTATTAACCCATTTTAATTTGGTTTATTTTGTGAAATAAAAGGAAACATGTACTCCTGGTGAATGGTTTCTTTTCATAAAGAATTGACAATTTTCTGTTTAATTTTATTTTTCTGTTTTAAATTGATCTTGAACATTAAAGCAATAACTTCTGCGCTTGTATGTTTACTAGATCTGGTTGCAATGGATTATCAATTTTGTACATTTTATGAAAAATACTAGACTTGCTTTATTTGCAAGGTTTGCTATTGCTAGTTTTTGTAGCAAAAGTGCTTTAGTTTTCAATAATCCAACAAGGAAATACTGGAAATCATAATAAAATGACTTCGAAAATATACAAGATCTTTTCTAATTAATGTTTTGACAACAATTGAAAATTAAAAAAGCATTTGCTACTCTTGTGAATGTACTACGAAACGCTGAACGATTCGCTAAATTTTTTTAAATTTATGACTTGATAACAACCTCTATGCTCCTTATAAAAAGTTTTCATATTTATTGTTTAATGGGTTAAAAATAAGCTGTTCAACTACTGGGAGTTTTGCTCAATTTAGCGCTCATCTTACTCTCATTTCAATTCTCTGTTATCAGCGTGTTAATGGAAAATGTTTGCATTTTAAGAACACCTTATCACCAACAACAGCTGTATTATTATTATTATTATTATTATAGTCTGTCTATGGGTGTAATTTAATAATAAACAAAAAAAAAAAAAATAATATAAATTGATATACATAGATTTATGTTGTGCCGAGAACTACTTATAAAAGCTGTCGCATATTTTATTTAATCGATCAATTGTAACAGAGACTTTAATTAGACTTAGTGAAAACGATCGTTAGTTAAGCAGTGTTTTTTTCTTCTTATATTTTATATAAAAAACTTATAATATTAATTAAATAATAATAAATAAAATAAAAATAAAACTACTACATATTACTAAATTAATTAAAATAAAGCTACTTAAAAAAGGTATGTTATTATTTGTTTCAAAGTCCCAAAAAAACTAAATCCTGAAAAATCTTGTTTTAATTTAATAAAAAAAATTCAAATTGTTATTAAAAAAACAAATATTCAAAATTCAATAATAAAATTATTAAATGAGAAATTAATTAAAATGTTTTTTAGATTGTTTGTGATAGAAACAAGCAAAAAAGTTATTAAGATTATTATCAAGTATTATCACCAATGGACCTAATTTAATAAACTGACGCTCGTGAACCAGATGTCAAGGCTCCCATTAGAAAGAAATATAAAATATAATAATCAAATGAGATTTTCTTAAACTAAAACTTTTAAAACAAAGAGTTTTTTTTTTAAACAAATAAGTTTTTTTTATAAGAAATCTTATCAGTTTAACAATTTACACTCATAAAAATTAACTATAAAAAAACTATTTGCTGGTTTAGACACTAGTCAACACAAAGATAATTACTTATTAATTAAAGACAATGAAACTCTGATATTAATACAAAGTATTGTAGTGTAAAGTCCCTTGTAGACTCTAACAAAGATACACACATACAAATTAATTTACTAATATTACCTGTTAAGATTTAAACATACAACATAATTATAAAAAAAATCTCAAAATAGCTAAAATTAATTGCGTTTTAACAAGATCTTTCAGATGTTTATTAGTTGATTGTTAGTCTTACACATACATTTTAATCAAATCGGAATTTTCACAGAGAGATTTTCAATATGCGCCTAAAACAGATATTGGTAAAAGATGGTGGTTTTGGCACTCAAATGACCGTGCATGTGGGCAACGCAGTTGACGGAGATCCTTTGTGGAGTGCTAGATTTAATGCTACCAATCCAGCTGCTGTTGTCAATACTCATGTAGATTTCTTGCAAAGTTTGTACTAAATATCTCAAAAATAAAGCAATTATAAAATATTTTTATATGTATACAAAATAAAATGTAGATGGCGCCGATATTATCTTAACCAATACCTATCAGACAAGTGTTGAGGGTTATATGGAATATTTGGAATTAGATGCTGATCAAAGTGTTGAACTTATAAAGAATACCGTGCGTTTAGCTCATATTGCCAAAGAGAAATACTTGACAGAATGTTATCAGGCTCAATTGAATGTGAATGAAGGTAAATGCTTAACTTTTTTAATAAAATTATTAACCTAAAAAACGTAATAATTTTTTAACATCTGTTAGGTTTTCCCATGATTATTGCTTCCATTGGACCATATGGTGCCCATTTACATGACGGCTCGGAGTATACAGGTGATTATGCTGATTATGTGCCAGCTAAAGAGATAACTGACTGGCATAGGGTGCGTATTGACGCCTGTCTTGAGGCCGGCGTAGATGCTTTAGCCATTGAGACCATACCTTGTCAAATGGAGGCCGAGGCTTTGGTTGAAATGTTATGCGAAGATTATGCAGATGTTAAATTTTGGGTTGCCTTTCAATGTAAGGACGAAAAGACCTTGGCCCATGGTGAGGAGTTTGCCGAAGCAGCTAATTCGTTATGGGAATTACTCAAGGAACGTAATGCTCAAGAAAACTGTTTAGCCATCGGTGTCAACTGCGTGAATCCTCAATTTGTAACACCCCTCTTGAAGTCATTGAATGGTGAACGTTCTATGGAGGATAGAATACCATTGGTAGTATATCCCAACAGTGGTGAGGTGTACGATGTCAATAAAGGTTGGATGGGTAAGGAACATTGTGTACCATTGGCAAATTATGTTGCCGAATGGGCTCAGCTAGGAGCACAGATAATTGGTGGCTGCTGTCGTACTTACGCACGTGATATAAGACATATTAGTGAAACAGTTCAAAATATTAATAAGTTGAAATTGTCATAGATAGGAGTGTATAGCAGTAAATTAGTACTAGTTTTAAGTTTATCAACAAGTTTTAAATTAAATAAATAAATGCAAAATTTTTTTTATTGAACAATATTTTTCTGTTACTATTTCCATAGCGTATGTGTAATATTAATTATTGGAAATATTATTCATACGCCTTCCTACTATCAAACGATGTACAGTGGGGGAAATTTCGATTGATCAAATTTTAATAAGATTTTACATCTAAAGAGGGCGTACTCGTATACTCCTTCGCTCGTCATTGATAAACTAAATACACCAATATATATTAAAGATTTTTTCTTTTAAAATCACTTTTACTAACAATACAAAAAAGGGACTTAATTATCGAATACATAGTATTATTTTGAAAATTTATGTTTGAACAATTTCTGCGGATTTTTGCGCGGCCTCCTGCTGTTGCCGCTTCTTGGCTGCTAAACGTTCTTGGGCTAATCTTCTATTCTCTGCAATGCGAGCCATTTGTTCGGCACTTAGTTGCTTGGCGGCAGGCGTAGTGGGTTGACTCGGTGGTAATGGAGTGGCCAAGTCACTGTTATCGTTAAAATTACCTTGAACCGTATATGGTGTTGACACAACTGCATTGCCTCGAGAGAAGGAAGGTGTAGCAAAACTACTGCTAGCTATAGAGGCATTTGTAGTTGAACCCATAGCACCGGCAGAATATCTTGAAGTACTTGGCCCTGGAGTGCGTGGATCTACTTTGGATATAGCAATTTGTTCATCTAGTAAGGCATCAAATTCATCATATGGTTCATCAGCCGTTGCTGCCGGTTGCTCATCATCTTCATCTGCATCATTGACTTCGCCGTGATTTTTCATACTTTCCAACATACCTAGACGATAGCGAGACATGTGAACCTGCAGTGGCTTCTTTTTACCCAAGCGTTCAATATTTGCCAGCACATCATCAAACTTATATGTGGGATACATTCTATGACCCCAATGTTGTAGCCGACGCATAACTTCATCTAGATCCTCTTTCTCGCGGCCCTTACCTTTAAATTTTATATCTTTGAAATAATCCTCAATCGTATGCAAACCCCTCGGACCGCGTAGCACCTCTACGTTTAGACGTGGTCTTGGATTAAGGACATTTCGTTTTTTAGGCTGAACCTTTACAGGCACAGCAGTTGCGCCTTCTTGGTTTTCGTTTTCACCCTCTCCGGGCTCATTATCGCCAAATAATTGTTCATTCTCGTCGTTATCATCGGGCAGTTGATCTCCATCATTGTGAAAATTGCCATTTAACAAGTCGTCAACCCCATCATCTCCGAATATAGACATTTTTTTTAACTAGTAGGTTTCCTTAAATTCAGTAAAAATAACAAATAACAAAAAGTAAACAGATACAAAACAACAAAAAAAGGCGGCATGCAGTACGAATTAAATAAGGTGACAGCAACGATGTATTTAATAATTTTCATACATGTACATATAGCAGTTGAAATATCTACGGTCGAGTGAATAGTTTTTTTTATATATGGGATTTGACGTTTTACAATTCCAGTTCTACAATCATTTGTGCTGCCAATAGCAACTGATACAGGCGATATGAATGATGCCATATGTTTTTACATAAATATGGCAACATTAAACCGAAACTAATCTAGAAGTTGGTGTTGTGCCAATATTTTTCATTGGAATATATTTCATAGTTCTTTTACAAAATAAATACAAATTTATTAACTTATTATTGAACAATTAACAAAAGAAACACAATCGCAAAAAATAATAAAACTATTGTTAATAAAGAATATAACGTGTGTTGCTATAAATAAGAAATACATTTAGCTATTTGCGAAAAAGGCATTATGGTGAAAAAAATGCGCATTTATAAGAAAGAGCAAACAAAAGGTGAATAGAAGCAGATTTCATAAAGAAAGAAAAAAGCAAAGCGAATTACCGAATAAATCTCAAGAATAACAACAAAAATTGCAAATAATAATTGAATTTATCATTAAAAATTCGTAAAAATAAACAAAAAATGGAAAATAAATGTAATAAAACACCAAATAACAGTAATAATAACACGAATAGTAAATACATGGATCATGTCTACTGTCACACAAATCAAACGATAAATTCATACAGCCTTGTGACAACCCCCGGCAGCGTCGGTTCAGGTGGCGGAGGAGCAGCTGCTACGCCAAATGCAGATATTCTGGCACTACTTAAGGAAAATAAACAATTAAAAGCCATGCTGATATTACATTTGGATTTAATACAGGAACAAAGTGACCAACTTATGGCCAAAGAGAAGCTGTTAATAGCACGCAATGAGGAAATAGAAGCAGCTAGGTCACGCAATGCTGTTCTCGAGAGTCAAGTAAAGGAATTACAAAAACAGCTGCAGCAGCAAATTAAGAGATCTGGAGAAGTATCCACGCTACCGCCACCACCACTAGCTAAAATACAATGTAAAACAAATCAAGCTATAGCTATGGGAACCACTTTGGGGCCAGTAACAGCGAATTGCGCCAAAATTTTAACGACTACGGGAACTGGAAAGTCCAACATTATTGGAGAATGTAATGGCAAGTTAATTAGTAAAATAGTGCTGCAGCGGGTAAATATGGCAGCGGGCCGTGGAAAACATAACCAAAGTCCTCAGAGTCAAACAACTGATACGGAAAATGATGAAGATGGCGACGAAGATGAGAACGAGGAGGAAGAGCATGAAGAAGCCGAGGGGGATGTGGGAGATGAGTGTTTAGAGGATGAAGAGGAGGAGGCGGAGGAAAGTCATCAAGAAGAAAATCAAGAACACGAGGAGGAGGAGGATGATCCTGAAGAACTTGCGGAAGCAGGGGAAATCGAAGAAATAGAACATTCCCAGGATTCTGTGGATGATAAATCAAATACCCCGGCCGTTGTGCTAGATGATTTATATGATACCGGTAACACCACTGAAGACAGCAATGAAGTTTTGGCTGTGCAAAGCAAGCGCTTAAGGCTCCGTCAAGCAGCGAAGCAATCCCTAGCCATACCAAGAGGTGCAAAGCCAAGTGTTTCGCCCGCCTCTACCACAACAAATGATGGACAAACCGCCTTTAAGGCAGTAACCTCAGCAACTGCTTCAACTACACTACAATTAAGTAAACAACCTCCAACTCCCAGTCGTGGCAAACAGATGACAATTATGCGTTGGCATGCCCCAGATTATAATACAGATGAATCGGTTAGTTGCGATTCCACGGCCGAAGTAGAAAGGGTAAGTAACGGAACCTTTTTTTAGTGAGCATATAATAAATGTTTTAATTTTATTCTAGCGTTCAACATCAACTACATCCTCTCCCCAGAAGCCTTCGCCAAATGTCATTGAAAAGAAGCGTTCTCATGATAACACTTCACAGCAAACGCATCATTGTCGAAAAATACGTAGATGTGCTTACATATCCACACCGCAACTCTATAGCACGCGAGAATGGGAAGATGAGGCATTTAGTTGTGACTATGATTACGAGTTCTTTAAAGCAGAAGCCAAACTTCTACAATCCGACAATCCCAAACTGGAAATACCTAAATGGACAGAACACGAGTTAACGCCGTCTTATTGTATTGAAGGCACTGAAGATCTTTCCGACGAAATTTTCCTTAAAAGACATGCAAAACTAGAAGTAGATGAAAAGCGACGTAAAAAATGGGATGTACAGCAAATAAGAGAACAGCGGCGTATAGAGCGTTTGAAGAGGCGGCATTGTAAAGATGAAATACAACCTACACAGGATACGCCTAGTTTACAAACATTTTATCCCACCACCGAGCAGCTGCAAACAATTTGTTTTGTTCAAGATTTGCCGGTACAGGCCTTTGGAGAAATGATACCTAGACTAACGGCAAAAGGAGAGCGACGAAAGGGTTTCCAATTACCTTGGTTGGACAAAGAGCAGTTGCAATTCTTAAGCGACAATAATAAACCGCTAACCGTATCAACTTTTAACTCTAGTGAAACAACAATAGCAGCATCTGCACAAATGCAACAACAATTGTTGAACTCGTCATTTACTTTTCTCAAGAAACGCCGAAGACAACAGAGCTCCTCTTTTGGCAACACATACCCTCGTCAACGAAATCAAGCAAGTCGTTTGGCACATAGTAATACCAATAATACTATGAATACATTAACAGCAAACATAAATAGTGGTGCCAATACAAGCTCTACACAAAACTTTTTAAACATTGTGAAATCAAACGTTGCCACTAGCAGCACCTTAACAACGTCCTCATCAACATCACTAACAACAACTACCCCCATACATACAGTAGCCCCCAGTAGTAGTAGTAGTAATAATCCAAATTTAGCAGGCAGTACGTAAGTTTGAAATTGCCTTTACTATTTTAAAATTAATCAACTAAATTCCCCAAATAATTACTTTGAGTAGAAAAGTATATATCTAAATAAAATTGAATTTAAATAGCTTTTACTATACATAATTAGACTTTTATATGTACATATATTTAACTACTTTAATTTAGCGAAAAAGTTAAGCACGATTCTTAAAAAAAAAAAACTTTCTATATGTAAAAATTTATTATAAAAAAAATTAACACCATTTTGACCTAAGAAAATTGTGATAAATTTAATTAAATTTGGAAAAAGTGTAAAATAATTCTAATAATAATAATCAAAATGCATTTTCAAGTTAATTTAAGATAAGGCAAACAAAGCACGTTTTGTATATATTTTTAGATTTTCAAAATCGTTTAGACGTAAATTACTCCACTATCAGTGTAGCAAAATTTAACATAATTAGTATATTTAATTAGTTTATTTTATTAGTATATTTAATTAATCAAAATGTCATGAATATATAAAAATAAAAAACAAACTACTAGATTCAAGAGCTACATATAATTACTGTTATTTTTCTCGAAGTATTTTCGTATATTTACTTTATAAGTTAAACAAAAAATGTATTTGAACTTTTATTACAGCAGTTGTATTAAAATTAACGGCTTGTAAATTTTCATAAGAGGAGTATACCCCAAAGTTAATATTTTTGTAGAGCAGAATTTTTATTGTGATTATTATTTTATGGTTTACTATTGTGAATATTTCTTCTTACATGGTTTCACAATGCTGCCATACCAATATAGTAATGAAAGTGTTGCCAATTGTTTCGTTTTTTAATGTTTTAACAATTTTAACGTTTTTATTATTAAAAATGTCGTTTGTAAAATAGGGATTCCATTATTTTTCTCTGGGATGTAATAAATTTTTTGACGATTCTTAAAAATGTACAAAATGATTCTTAAAATAGGATTTGAAAAGAATCTGAAGATTTTAAAAATTTTGAAGGGCAAGCATTGATTTAACTCAAAAGTTTTTTTTTATTATAATTAACATTAATGAATAATAAAAAGCTACAATTCCCTATGACATTGCTAAGACGTTTATTAAAAAATGATAATTAACAATTAAAAACATTTTGGACGTAATACTTTATTTATACAATTGTTGTTAACACATAATAATAATTGACACTGTTAAGGAAAAGGCAACAAATTTCTTACTGTTATTTGCTTAAATATGTTTGCACAATATATGTGTGGGTATATATAAAAAATTAATTATTTATAAAACATAAAACAAATTAAAAAAATGACAACAAAAACAAATTTATTTAACACTTTGTGTTAAATATTTATCAGCAGCTGTTCTCCATATCTCATCGATTTGCTCAAACTGCTGCCTCCACAATTGTTCGATTAGTTTCCAACCTTCCTCTTGTGTAACTAAAACATATTCGTTAGATGGATCCAGGGAATGTGTATACGAACCCATAACCAGACTCTGAGCTAAACGTGCTGCCACACAATATTTCAAATATTGTTTTGTTTCGCTCGTTAGTGGATATATCGATTCAAAACCAGCTAAGAAAATGCCACCACTTTCCAAATTTTTGGCTTGTAATAACATATAAGTGAGAGCAATGCCCACCTCAAAGAGTACTGGTGACTTACTCGCATCGCCAAAATCTATTATACCTTTTACTTTAAAGTTGGTGCTTTCTTCACCGACCGGCTCTACAATTAAGTTTTGTTCATTGAAATCACCGTGTATAATTTGCTTCTCGAATGAATCTATTTTTTCTAGAACTTTGGTCTCGAATGTTTGTATTATTTCTTCGATAATTTCTTTGCGGGCATGATCTTGCAGAACATACAAAAAGTCTTTGAGCTTTGGTACGGATTGTAATTGCCAAGTAGTCTGATGGGTGTCATAGGCCTCATGTTGGAAATTCTACAATTGTAAAATAAATTGAACTAAAGTATACAAAACCGAGAAATTTTTAGTTTACCTTTAAAGCTTTGACAATTTTTGCCAAATATTCACCGCTTTGATAAAGTAAATAATTTGTTATGGGAACTTGATGGAACATTTGTCCAGGTATAAACTCTAAAAGTCTGACGACATGTTCACCACCATTTATAGACTCCAAAGAATAATATTTACCATTTACATTGGCTATGGGACGAGGGCATTGCACTTGTTGTTTGGCTGTATAGGAATCAATTTTTAAATAAATGTACCTAAAATTAAATTGTATTTATGCTTACACAAATAGAGCATCATTTGATTTTGAGCATCAAATATTTCCGGTTTCTTAGAATCCAAAGAATTTGATATCTTTAAAACATATCCATGGGGCCAATGCGTTACAATTAAGGGATTTTTCATATTTCTGAAAGAAAAATTAGAAAACATTTTTTTAATAAAATATAACTAAAATCGGGAAAGTAAAGTGCCCTAACTATACTTTTTTATTTATTCAACTAATTCCTAAAATAATTTTTATTACAAGTTTAAATAATCACGTAGTTGGCATTATTGATTAAATATAAACACATTTGATATGGCATCACTACTGCACATCTGTTAAAAAACGCGCCAAATTATTGGAACAAAACAAACAAACCAAAACAAAAAAGCAAGTAGTTTGGGGATGAAAAAGCAATACATTATTTGCAATAAAAGACAACGAATTAAACAAATGTTAGTTGTGTTAGAAAATTAATACTCGAAAGAAATCATTATGGGTATTACTGGTTTAATACCTTTTTTGGAAAAGGCCTCGTCCTCCGTTAATATCAGACAGCTGCAGGGATCATCAGTGGCCGTGGACAGTTATTGCTGGCTACATAAAGGTGTTTTTGCGTGTGCCGAAAAACTGATAAGAGGTGAAACTACCGATATTCATATACAATACTGCCTCAAATATGTCGACATGCTGATGAGACACAAAATCAAGGTCATCATGGTATTTGATGGCAGACATTTACCCGCAAAAGCCGAAACAGAGCGCAGACGACGTGAAGCAAGAAATGAAAGCAAAGAATTGGCAAAGGAATATTTGAGAAGGAATGAAATAGAAAAGGCTAGATCCCACATGAGAAGAGCGGTCGATGTGACACACGAAATGGCTTTGCAGCTTATAAAAGAGTGTCGACAACGAGGCGTTGATTGTATAGTAGCGCCTTATGAAGCAGATGCCCAAATGGCTTGGCTAAATAAGCAGGGTTTAGCTGAATATATAGTTACAGAGGATTCAGATTTAACCCTGTTCGGTGCCAAAAAGATTCTCTTCAAATTAGACTTGACGGGTCAGGCCTTGTTGGTGGAAAATACTAAACTACACCTGGCCATGGGTTGTAAGCTAGAAAAATACACTTTTGACAAGTTTCGTAGAATGTGCATATTATCAGGCTGTGACTATTTGGACTCTTTGCAGGGCATTGGCTTGAAAAAGGCCTGCAAATTCATTTTAACCACCGAAGAAGATGACATGACGAAAGCTTTGAAGAAAATACCGACTTATTTGAAAATGAAACAATTGGAGGTAACAGATGATTACATTGAATCTTTCCTCAAAGCTGAGGCTACATTTAAACATATGTTTGTATACAATCCCTTGGAGAGGAGAATGGAGAGATTGCATGAGCTAGAGGAATTCCAGACAGACGAAAGTCATTGTAGTAACGCTGGCTCGTTGCTGGATGACGCAGAACAGGCATTTCAATTAGCATTAGGAAATCTTAATCCCTTTAGCTTAAAACAATTGGATGACTGGCATCCGGACCGTAGTTGGTCAGATGCTAAAACTAAACTTAAAAGTATTTGGCGCGGTACAAACCATGCAGATGACTATAAAGATGCTATCGAACATAAACCACAAGTTAAAAAGGCGACTGGTTCTATATTTCAGTTTAAAAAAATTGAATACAAAAATATGGCTGAAATGGAGATACAAGAGAAACTCATTGAAGAAAAGTGTAAACTTGAGGAAGCAGAAATATTTTCCATGTACAAATATGCTTCCCCAAAAATGGATAGAAAACGTAAGAGAAGAGAGTCCACCTCATCCAGTAGTGAAGCTGAAGAAGACAATGAGAAGCATATGCAAAACGAAAAAACACCTAAGAAATACGCACACAATCCCTTTGCCAAAGTTAATACTACATTGGAAAATATACAAAAATCACCTGTTTGCAACAACAACTCACTGCTTAAACTACTAAGTCCTAAGAAAGCCAATGACAATAACATTAATCAACAAAAGGCTTCAGTAAAGTCGAGATTTTTTGCTGAAAATATAAAACAAGTTGTTAAGAAACCATTTGCTGCCAGAGATTTAACATCGGAAATGTTCAAAATAGAAAAGAAAACAAATGCATTTATAGAGCAACAACAAGATTTATACCATTGTTCCATGCAATCACCTAAAAAGAAAATTATAGATAATAAGCCAACAAAAATTGAAGATGAGGATGAATCGTTGCAAAGTAGTAGTCAAAATAATAATAATAATGAGGAGGAGGATGAAGAAGATAATTATAACAAAGAAAGTTTAGAATCTTCCGAAAGTTGCCCTAGTTCCCAAGAAAACAAACCTTGTGGATCTTCGGTTACTAAAGAGGAAATAATTTTACTTTCTGATATTGAAGAAGAAGAAGTATGTACTAAAAAATCTTCTACAAAAGTAGTACAAAAACTTACTATGACATTTTCACAAAGGCCTCACGTAGGCCTATCCAAAACTAAAGCTAAAACACAAACTACTCCTCGTAAATCTGCAAAATCTTTAACAACTGTTGATCCCAAACAATCAAAATTAAGTATGTTTGGCTTCCAAAAGAGGCCGTCTTTAAAAAAGTTATAGTTAAGTTTGGTATTTTTTTAATAATAGTGTTATTTATGTATTTGTTATTTTTAATATTTATGCTATTTGTGTGCGTAATAAATATGTATATGCGTTTTTTGCATTTTATAAAGTTTGAATATAATTTCTTTTTTGTTTTTATTTTTTTCAATTGGTGAATAAAAATGTTTTTAATAAAATCATGTAGCTTTTTATAAAAAAATATTTTTTTTATAAAAAAATTCAAAAAAGAAAAGATTTTTATTTAATTTTATATAATTTAGATTTTTCACAAAATTTTCGATTTTTTATAAATATGTACATATGTGCATATTTTGAATTTTTATAAATAAATCGATTTTTTTTATAAAAATGTCAATTAATATTTTTTTAAGTATGTATGTAGGTTTTTCGTTTCAAATCCGATTTTTTATTAAAAATTTAAATTTAGATTTTTTACAACAGGTTCATAATTCTAAAAGATTTTACAAAATCTTTTCGCCATCCTTTTTCTATTTCTTTTTAATAAAAATTTGTATATATTAAATTTTGAACCAAAAATTGCCTTTCATAAATCCCTTTCAATATTTATTTTCCGTTTCCTCTCTTCTACGGTATTTCCTTTTAAATTGAGGCGAATTTACTACATAATCAATTCGCTTCATTTTCAGCTGTCTCCTTTGACAAATGTCAACAAATAAGTTGACAACACTTGGGGACGCCTAGTCTTAGGGTTCTATAAATCGACTTTCGAATAATCGAACAATCGACTTTTTGTCGAAAAAAGTCGAAAAGTCGAAGTCGACTATTTTGTTCCAAAAAAGTCGATAACTCGACTATCGTCTATGAAAAAAGTCGAAAAGTCGACTTTGTAAATAAAAGTCGAAAAGTCGGAAAGTCGAAAAGTCGAAAAAAGTCGATAAGTCGAAAAAAGTCGAAGAAAGTCGAAAAGTCGAAAAAAGTCGAAAAGTCGAAAATAGTCGAAAATTTTAAAAAAGTGGAAAAGAGGTCAAAAACTCTAAAATAGTCGGAAAAACTCGAAAAAAGTAAAAAAAATAGTCGAAATAAGTCGAAAATAGTCAAAAAGTCGTAAAAAATCGTAAAGTCGAAAAAAGTCGAAAAGTCGAAAAAAGTCGGAAAAAGTCGAAAAGTCGAAAAAAGTCGGAAAAAGTCGAAAAGTCGAAAAAAGTCGGAAAAAGTCGAAAGGTCGAAAAGTCGACCATTTATAAAATACTAAAAGTCGAAAAGTCTAAAAGTCGACTTTTAAATAAATGAAAAAGGTCGAAAAGTCGAAAAATCGACTTTTCATAAAATGGAAAAAGTCGAAAGGTCGAAAAGTCGACTTTTAACTAAATGCAAAAAGTCTAAAAGTCGAAAAGTCGACTTTTCGTTTCAACTGTAGAACCCTACCTAGTCTAATTAGTTTTTCTAAAAAAATTCGCGGCAATTGAAGATAAACATGTTTGCTTCTTTCGTTTCTTTTAAATATCTTTTTTTAATCACGTTAATTTAATTGTTTATAATAAAATTAAATGTCTCAAGTGTTATTTAATAAATATATTTCTAAAATTTCTTACGATTTCTAAAAAAAGTGAAAAAATATGTCTGGTTGCAAAAGTTTTTTACAAATTATATTGTAAATTCTTCAATATTGTTTATTTTATTTAATTAAAGTTAAACTTATAAGTTTAATTAACAACCAAAAATGTTTAATGATATCCTGTCTCAAGTTTTTTTTAACAAATTTATATTGGAAATTGGTTTTATTGTTTTGACGGCTGACTGCCCAAAGTGATAACAAGTGCGTCCAGTTTCCATTAATTATTAAGTTTAAATTAAAAAAAATGTCTTACTTAAAAGAAAACGTAAAGATTTTCATAAAAAGAACTTTAAAAACAATTTAAGTATGCAGAAATTTGAAACAACCACCATCCCAGCAAAACTGTCAAATATTTGATGTTGTACTCGAACATTTCGTAAATCTAGCAGTTTCTTGAACTGGGGTAAGTTAATAAGTTCTTTGTTTTGATAATATAATAGTTAATCGACAATCACTTGTGAAGAGTACCTATCATTAGGCCAACATCTACGACTATTACTTTAATTACACTTTTTAAAAAAATTATATTTACAACTTTTATATACTTACGGATCTTCCTTAATTAAATAATTACGATCATCATAAGAAATCATTTCCTTCATTTCACCAATGGTTATGCCATATAAACGTCGTAATAAACTTTCAACAATTTCATTGTTAACTTTTGGCTTAATATCTGAACCCGGCTGCAAGGTTGATGTACCATTTGTATTATTTATTGTTTCTCCCTGTTTCGTATCATTTGACACACAGTCATTGTTGTTGTTATTATTGTAGGCGAATTTGGCATTTGCATCATATTCATGATTAAGGGTATACGATTTTCGTCTTGACATATTAGTCAATTCAACATTATTCCAAGTATCATCCATAGTTTGTTGTTAATTTGGTTAAAAGTGCACTTAACTGACCCGAGTTTTATAAGAGTTGATATCCCCTCTTGTTAATGCTAAAAATAAATAAATTATATAGAACGTTTATTTATTAAATATTTAGCACTTTGTTTATGTATGTATACATTATTTGTTGATCAATTGAATTTAATTAAGTTAAGAAAGAAATATGTAGTCTGTTTAGTACTGTTTGCTTTTGCTCTTTTTGTTAGTTAAGCTGTTTTATTTGTCAATTTTATTATAATGAAATGAAATAATTGAACAAACATTTATTTTTTAATTCAATTGTAAGAAAGTATTGTGTTTTGTTAACTCTTAAACTACATTTGTATGAGTGAGTACACGTTCTTATTGATAACTTGTTGAGTGAAAAGCTGGAAGAGCTTCTTTATATATTTAAAGTACTGTTATGACTGACTGACAGTTCCAAAACGACTAATATTATCTGGCAAGACAAAAATTCATATATCTTATTGGATTTGTTTTCTGTTGCTTTTCAAAAGTCTTTGTATTGTTTGTATTTACTTAAGCTTTTTTTGTGCTTATCATTGGATCTTGTGCTTGTTTTAATATTTTATAGCAGTATAAATATAAGGTATAAAACGCCCATAATCAAACACATCTATACTGATTCTTATAATATATATATGTACATTAGAGTGCTCCAAAAAAACGAAGTTGCGAATTTTGCCCGTCCCCCCCTCTAGAATTGTTCTATGGGTTGTAAAACTATGTCATACAAAAAATTAGGCTGATAGGATAACGTTAACAGGTGCCGCAACGGCACTAAAGTTTCCAAGTGCATTTACAAGGGGAAAAAATCGATTTTTTTCAGTTTTTGCTAAAATTTTGCCACTTAATAATAAACTTTACAATGTATTGTGATGGAATCGCAATGTACACATAATAAGCTTTTCGGAAAGATATAAAACATAAATATTGGTTGAAAACTTTCAGAGTTATTGCAAATTCCCCAGACCATTAACGTGTCTCACAGCACATGAATTCGAAATGTGACAAAAAAATTAACATTTTTTAGGAAATATTGTAAAAAAACATTTTGTTACTTAAAATATATCTATAATAACTAGAATGTTAGCTTTTGTCTTTATACGATAACGCAAACTTGTTCTCAGCTATGGTTAAAAAAGTTTGAATTTTTCAACGGCCGTTTCAAATCTCCAATTTCAGTTTTTTTGAAACTTTGTTAAACAAATTTTAAAATTTTTAGAAGATCTCATGGGGATTTATGGACAATAGATAAGGGAATAAAACGGTAAAAAATTAGATCAATAATTCTTACAGTTTAGCTGTACCTGCGATTTGAACTCGGCGGATTTCGGGAAAATCGCATTTTTTTGTAATATATTAGAGAATACGTATTAATTTTTTACTGTTGTACATTTTAAACAAAGTATTTTCAGAGTATTATAGACCAGATAATATAAAATATATATTCCAAGTTTTATTCAATTCGGACATTCTTAACCCATAAAATGTGGAGTTCAAAGGTCAAATTTTGCTATATTTGGGAATTCTCAGTGTACCATATCGAAATATTATGTATTTGTCGGTCATATTTAATAAAGATGACTTGAATTTTTAGTATAAAGTCTTATGTTTAAAATAGCAGCGAAAAAAAGTAAAATTAACCCTTTAAAACACATGGGTAAAATTTAACCCCGAAGATCAAAAAATCGTAAAAACACTATCCATTTGAATAATGCTCTATATAATTAGAGGAATAACATAAATAAAACAAAAAAATATATATTAGGTATAAAAACTTATGAATTAACCCTTTTTGAACCTATAAAGTTTGTATTTTTAGACATATTATGTCGAAAATGGTCTGAAAAAATGGACTACATAAATTATCAGTTTTAAAAACAAAATTTTTCTTTTAAAAATGTACACCTATAGTTTACTCCATAGTCGAAAAGGGTTAAAGTATAATTTTTTATACTTAATATATACGTTTTTGTTATATTTCTGCTATTTCTCTAATTATATAGAGCTTTATTCAAATGGATAGTGCTTTTTCAAATTTTTGAACTTTGGTGTTAAATTGTTCCCAAGTGCCTTAAAGTGTTAATTTACCTTTTTTTCACTCTATTTTAAACATAAGACTTTATACTAAAAATTCAAGTCATCTTTATTAAATATGACCGACAAATACATAATATTTCGATATGGTACACTGAGAATTCCCAAATATAGCAAAATTTGACCTTTGAACTCCACATTTTATGGGTTAAGAATGTCCGAATTGAATAAAACTTGGAATATATATTTTATATTATCTGGTCTATAATACTCTGAAAATACTTTGTTTAAAATGTACAACAGTAAAAAATTAATACGTATTCTCTAATATATTACAAAAAAATGCGATTTTCCCGAAATCCGCCGAGTTCAAATCGCAGGTACAGCTAAACTGTAAGAATTATTGATCTAATTTTTTACCGTTTTATTCCCTTATCTATTGTCCATAAATTCCCATGAGATCTTCTAAAAATTTTAAAATTTGTTTAACAAAGTTTCAAAAAAACTGAAATTGGAGATTTGAAACGGCCGTTGAAAAAATCAAACTTTTTTGACCATAGCTGAGAACAAGTTTGCGTTATCGTATAAGGAC